TAATCCTTCATATACATAATCTTGCTTCTTTTGTCACATCAGTGGTGAACAGTTTTAGCTCAGAGAAGTCAGATTATTACCAAGCTCATGCAACTATTTTGTAGTATAGCTTAAATTTGAGTTTAGGTATTCTGCTTCTAGAACCAAAGTTGTATATCATGCTGTCTTGTGTAGTATTATGTACTCCTGATGTTTGTGTTGTTGTTGTTTTTTTTTAAGATTTTATTTATTTATTTGACAGACAGAGATCACAAGTAGGCAGAGAGGCAGGCAGAGAGACAGGAAGGGAAGCAGGCTCCCACTGAGCAGAGAGCCCAATGTGGGGCTCGATCCCAGGATCATGGGATCATGACCCGAGCCGAAGGCAGAGGCTTTAACCTGAGCCACCCAGGCGCTCCTATTTGTGTTGTTTTGAGATGGCCCCTCTTCCTTGTCTTTCTGCCTTCTCAAGTAAAACTAAAGAAAACTGATCTTCATGGAAAACTTGTTCAAACTTTGGTGTCCCAAACTGTGATACATAATACATTTTAGGAAAATGCAAACCTTCTGGGTATACATAAAATTTCTTGATCTATTGTATCTTTTTTGGAATAGAATATCCTTTTTCATATATATCTCTCTCAAAAATGTGTATGTATATATATGTTCTTTGGATGAAAGAGTAACTTAAATATATTTTGTTATTAAACTTAACCACCCCAGTTCTCTTTTGGTTCATGTTTGCCTCGTTACTCCTTTTACTATCCCTTTTTTGGAAATTTTCCTTTACCTTTAACACTTTATCTTGGCAGTTCATACTATATATCTTATACTCTAGCATTAGTGTTGAGAAGTTTGATGTCAGTGTTATTCTTCCTGTATGGAGGGATATGCTTGTTCTTTCTGGAAACCTTTAGCCTTTGCTCTTGATCTGTTACAGTCTTAATAATCCTTATATTATGCTTTGCTGTGGATTTTCACTTAACTATCCTGTTCACTGCTCTGTGTACCCTTTCTGTCTAAGATTTGAGTAATTCTATATCTGGGAATTTTTTGTTAATATTTTATCAGATATTTTTTTCTCTTCTGTTTTGTCTTTGCTTTCCTTCTAGGGTTCCCATTATTAGATGTTCACACATCTATTCCTCTTCTTAACTTTATCTGTTGTTTGTTCTGTCTTTCATCCCTTTCCTACGCCATCTGGGAGAGTTCCACCCAGTGGTTCCAGCTCACCAATTTATTCTCAGTCTGTAGCTATTGTGCTTTCAATTCACCCTCTGAGTTCTTTATTTCAAACTACTGTATTTTTAATACCCCCTATCTCATATTGATTCCTCTTCATTACTGTTTTTTTTGTACTAAATTTCTAAAAATCTTTTATCTTTAAAGATTTATTATGCTTATAGGATATTCTTGCTCAGTCTATAACCCCCCCCCACCCCCCTGATAAGGTTGCTCCATTTGTTGTTTTTTATTCCTGTGCTTATTCACCTCAGAGGTCTCATAGTTTTCCTGTGGACTTCTCTTATATTTCTTTGCAACACTGAGCTGCCTTGGCTAGTAACTTTAATCTAAGGAGAGAGGTAAAAGTCTAGGATCTGGCTTGTGCTTCTCTGAGATAATTTAAAAACTAGAGTGCAAAGCCTCTAGTGTTGGACTCTGGCCTGAATCAACCACGTTTTCCACTGTGTCCTCATATTCGTTTAGAAAAACAAACAAAGCAAAACAAAATAATCACGCACCAAACATGTACACACAACCCCCAATACTACCCTCCCAAATAACCACTTGCTGTTGGAGTTGCCTTGTTCTTTTGTGGTCTGGAGAGAGAGTTGGGCTGGGGAGCACCCCTCAGAGACCTGAAATGGTTGCTTGATTCTCCATCCCACCTTGTCTTCATGTTTAAATGTCAGACCCTTATTAGTTGAATACATACTCTGATGCAGGCACTGTATTGGGTGCTGGGATATAAAAATTTTAAAGATACAATCCATGTTCTCAAGGAGTTTTCATTTTAGTGGTGTCATTGGGAAAGTAATTAGGTATTTATAATAAAGTATGATAAATTATGTGATGAGAACACATGGGAAGAGTTGATTCGTTCATTTGTGAGGAAGGGAGGCGGTTTCCTTCCTTGTATGGATTGAGTCCTGAAGGATGTTTTGTTGTTGTTGTTTTGATTTGATTTTGTTTGTAAGCTAGATGAGGAAAGACTAGAGGAGGCCGGGAGAAAAGGAGCATTCCAGGTAGAGAGAGCGAGTGGTTCAGGGGTGAGGGAAGCCAGGTTAATTTCTTATGGCTATTGCTGTCACATTTTTGGCAATGTACCTTTGGCAAGATAACAGGGAATGAGTAAACTGGAATGTAGTAGGATACTATGTATTCTAAAAAGGAAATGACATGAACAGGCTTAACATTTTAGAAGACCTTGCTATATTATGGAGGATGAGTTAACATGGGGCAAGGCAGGAGCCATTGGGACCCATTAAGAGGTTTTTCAGTAACCTGGGAGAGAAAAGATCATGACCTAAAGTTAAGTAGTAGCTGTGAAGATAGAATTCTATCAATTCTAAATCAATTTAATCAATTCTAAATGATTATTACGGATGGTGGGTCACCAAGACTCTGTGGTTGAATACATTTGTTTACATTTAGTAGTGGAAGAAAGGGCCTGTGTCAAGGATGATGTCTAGTTTTCTTTTCTGCGTACCATTCAAAATGCCTATTTCGTAAATATCATTTAATTAAAGAATCACTTGGAAATATAACAAAGCAATAGTCTAACCAGCTTTTTTTTTTTTAAGAACAGATTGCTATTCTTGATTCCAAAATATAAATAGTTGAAAAAATTGGGGGATTTTCCCTAAGTTGATGGAAAACTCAATAGCAGAACTAACCCTGAAATGAAATTATTCGTAGTCTTCGTTTATCCCATTTTGCGTGGATGTTCATGTTGCTTTCAGAATCATTGTTATATATAATGATGAGATGGTGCTCAAACCTTGCTGCTGAAGTTACGTGACATACAGCATACTGTCTTACTACCTTTCTAAAATCCAAAATATTCTGATGAAGCGTGTCTGATTCTAGTGGTCTCAGATTGTAAATTATGGACTTATACTTTGAATCTGAGCATTTTTGTTCTTTTATACTGCAGTGTTATTTTCTAATAAGAACCATTATGTGACAATGTAGCCTTGGGGGGAGATGAAGTATATTCGTATTATATAGTGCAAACTCCGAGTTATATTGCCAAATGAAGGGACAAAATAGTGAATATAGTATGCTTCTCTTTGGGTTTAAGAAAAGAAAGACGGAGGAGGAGAAAGACACATGCACACACACACACATAGCATATCTTTAGAAGGACAAACAAAGAGCTAATATCTTTGCTTGAGAACAGGGAGTCAGTGATGGGAGGAAGACTCCGTTTATTGTAGTGCACACACACATGCATTGCACTGGCCGACGTTTCACTATATGCATTATTTTTTTGTTTAAATTTTAAATTGCATGGTGACTAGATGAGAATGTCCTTGTGACAACGTAAAGATTTATTTGACTTCTAGCTCCAGTAAATGCATTGAATTTGTAATAATAAAGTTAAAAATAATTATTTATGTACCTATTCACCTTTTCTAATTCCTTGTTATAATTTATTCCTGTCATTTGTCATTAGGACTGCATCCAGAGAATGAGTTTCAGAAATCCTTAAATTTTTAAGTGTTGAATATATAGTATTGCTAAGATTGCCAGGAGCAGAAAGTAGAGAAGGGAATGGCTGAAGATGAGTGCTAATCAGTAGATGCTGGAATTTATTCCCAGTATGCCAGACTGGGCAGTGAGAGCAAAAGTTGGAAGACATGAATGTAGTTTTCAGGGAGCACATCTGAAGGGGAAAACGATGGGGAGATTTGGAAAGATTGAATAGTAAGACAAAGGAAACAGAGGGAAGTATATTTTTGGCAGTCAGAATTGGAGACGGAAATAGAAGAGAAGTAAACTTGGGGCCCTTTTAGAGAAAGAAAGAGGTGTGAGGGAAAGATTAAACATCATGAATGAAATTCTGTTGTTGGATGTTTTATAATTATTCTCTGCAACATGGTAAAAGTATACTTTCATGTTAAAAATATAAGGCTTGGTATTTATGATGGAATTAAAATACTGCTTGGTCTGAGTGAGGAAGTTCTAAGTTCATTTGTCACTACTAAATTAATGTTAACTAAAATTGGAAAAAATTCAAGTATTTGCCACATTTTTCCAAATATATATTTAAATTATTTTGCTATCGACACGATTATTTGTATTTTTAGTTACATCAGCAGGTTTTTTTACAGTGAAAAGCAAGAATTAAATACTTAAAGTATATCATATTTGATGTTTATGTCTTCATTGGTGATATTTTGTTTTTTAATATTACAGTAGTCTTACGTTCTGATTTGTAGTGTGCATTAAGTTAGTAAAATTAATGTTAAGGAAAAATTTGTTAAGATGTGGTTACTAAGATATGTAGTCACAAACATGTTCTTTACATGTATATTTTTTATATAAAATGCAGTCATTGGTAGATGGATATTTGATAAAGCAAGTAGAGTAAAACGTCAGTAGTAGAATCTAGATGGTAAATAGAATGTGTATAAACATTTTTATAATAAATATTGGAGAAAACATAAACTCTAATGAAAAAGCTAATGTGAAATAAATACTGTATGATAAAATAAATACTGTATGATAAAATAACAGTACTCTTGACTTCCTTTTGTTCTATGAGCTGACTTTGAAAAGTCTGAAACAACTATTAGTGGAATCCCAATTTTAGTGATAATATTATTAGATGTAAATAAATTATCTGTTTCCTTTTGGTGGAAGTTGCTTTGTCCTTAAAAACAGTGTTATTGTGAACATTAAGTGCAGATAATATGAAAATATCATAAGGATTTATAAAATGCATTTGAGGTAAATGTAAATTATAACAGACAACTGTTTAGCAACTATTAAGAACTTTTATTCTTCTATTTTAGGGAATCTGGAAACATCAAAGCTGGATTAGAACATCTGGTAAGTTCTAATTTTCTCTTGAACATTTGCATCATCTTTGATATCTGCATTCTAAATGAACACTTTTGAATGAGCTTTGAATACCTTGTATTGAGAAAGTCAACCATTTCCCAAAGGGTCAGCTTACTGTTATTATGTGAAGGCACTTACATTTTCATTTATCTTACCATTTCAAGGGAATTTAAAATTTTTTTTAAATTACTTTTTTTTTTTTTTTTTGATGTAGAGATGAAATAAAATGGATGACAATCCTTGGATTGATGATTGCTTTAATTATAAACAAAAATGTTTGGTGTAGAATTTTTGGCATAACCTGATCTGACAAAAACAAGCTTGTGTTTTAAGAAAAACACAATCAAATATTGCATGCATAAATATGGTATGTTTTAGCAATTTAACGGCTTTGAAAGAAGGGCACAGCTTTGTTTTTCCTGATGTCTTTGCTTTATGAATAATGCATTGGTTTAAACTACATTCAGTTTTAGAATATAAAATAATTGAGATGCAAAATTTTTGGTTTAAGTAAACATTTTTAAAGTACAAATGAAATTCAGACTGACTTAACCTTAAAATCTATCCATTGATCAAAAAATTAGAAAAAGTGTTCTGTTATACCAGGTCCAAAATTCATTTAGCTTCCTGCATTGAGTGTTCATTACAACATTAGGTAGTTCATTTAAACAGAGCATTATAAAGTCATGCTCTGGTTTCTGGTCAAATCCAAATGTTGAATAATTAATGATAGAGATTCTTTTGTAAATACAATCTAAGTACTTTTTTAATGCAAGATTTCATTCGTATATCATATTGTAGCTTTGTTAACTATTAATGTGCTTTCTTTTGCTCCCACAAAAGCAAACAGTAGCAAGAGGCATCTTCACTTTGACTTATAGTAGTTTTAGAGTTTGAAGGGATTTTTGGTTTTCCTTGCAATAGCTAAAGGAAACTGAGGAAACCCAGACTTTTAAAAAATGAGCCTAAAAAGTACAAGTTAATTATTAAAAGCAATATATGACAGCCTAGTTAGACTATTTGAACTTTATATTTGTCTAGATTAGATATAAATAAATAGCATTGTTATTCTTATTAGAAATTATTTCCTGAATCCCTGTTTGTCACTTCTTAGTGGCATATATATTTAGGACATATGGACATTAGAATAAAAATGTTAATCTAAAACATCAAATTCCAATATCAGTTGGGGGCTTATAATAAGGAAGAATAGCTACCATTGTGCCAAAATGAGCTGTCTTTTATATTTATCATACAAATTATTACTTATTAAAAAGACTTCATTTTCACTTGTTTCATATTTCTCAGTAAATAGTAATGAATTAAATATTTTAGTTTAAATTTTATATTTTTAATATTTACTAGTATGAACTCATTTTCAGTGACTCTTTAATATGTTTATATTCTACTTGTAACCTTATTCAGCACTGGTTTTCTAAGTGCCTTGGGCTGCCAGGAAGGCTCCCCAAAGCAGGTGGCACTCCAGACTGTCACTGCCCACTTTCATCGGAGTAGTTCCACTTTTAGTTATTTTATAAATTTTTAAATTTTAAAATAAGATTTTATTTGAAGAAAATCTTCCAACTGAAAACAGTTAAAACCTTTGATTAAGCATAGCTACTTATTACAGTCAGGAGTAATTGTTAATTATTCTTTTCTAATCTTGACCCTAAGTTATATTACATTTTTATCTGGGTCATATATATCAAATATATTTCAAACATAATGCATTTTAGAGATGAGAGAGCTAGGATTAGTATATCAGGTAGTGGGAAATGGATTATTTTAATGCATTTTATCTAGGTTGTTCAAAAGACTCTATAAGTTGACATTGTAAAATCGACCCACTAACTGTGAACTATTAGCAGTAATGTGAATGTATGAATATATAACATAATATCCTATGTATACATATCATACTGCTTTGTGTACTACTGTCCAGTAAAGTTGGTGATAGTCTTCACAACTGCCTAGAGGGAAGTGAACTCAAGAATTTATTGTCTGAGCATTAATGAAACCTGTCTGTCTAGCAGCTGTGCACGCCTTAGGTTTGTGTCTCTCCAGTTTCCAGCTGAGGAGATACATAGAGCCCTTGCCTTCTAGCACATGCAGCCCTTCTTTGCGTTGGCTGTGTAGCTAAATACAATTAGAATTATAGCTTCTAATAGATTGATCTTTAAAAATATATGGTGTAAAATTAAGAACATCCCACACATGTGGAATTAATTCCTTTTTTATGTATACTTTGGTCTTTGCTTTTTAAAATTTACTTGAATTACAGAGAATTAACAAAAAGCAAAATTAACAAAAAGTAAAAGCAAGTATAAATTTAAATAAGAAAAGGGCTTCTGGCTGACTCAGTTGTTAGAGGATGTGACTCTTGATCTTGGGTTGTAGGTTCAAACCCCACTTTGGATGTAGAGATAGCTTAAAAATAAAATCTTATAAAAATGAAAAATAAAAATAAATAAGCTAAGAAAAATTACATAGGCAGCATGTTATACTTGCCACAAGGACACATACATAGCATAGTTGCACTGCCTTTGTATTCTGTTTATGGCCTCTTCTTGGTATGTAGTTATCTGTAATCCTAGAAAGGAAAAAGCAGGTCTCAAACTCCTGATTCGGCCTTTGTTCTATCATTACTTTTCTATTTTGCTACCTTTTCCTGGGAACTGCCCAACTTGTCATTCTTAGCTTAAATTTTTACTATACTGCTTGGTACTATTTTATTTTTCTTTTCACAAACTTGTGTACTATGCATAAAGCCCATGTCTGTTGAAAGTTCTAAACAGGGTCTTTGAAGGTTGGTACTCCATTGTTCATTGGTGGTTCTTGCCTGATTATAAATGGAGATTTTCCAACTCTACCACTCCCTCCCAGATTCGGTAGCCAGCATTCCATTTTAAGGAAGAGCCCACCCTTAATTCTTGTTTTATCTATTTATTGTGAGCAAGGACTCATGGATCCATTACTTTTCTTACTTATTTTGAAGCTCAAATTGTCCCAGATTTGTCCAGGAAGTATCCTTTCAAAATGGCTTTTAGCTTATTTCTACATACCCCATCTTTTTTTTAAAAGCACCTCCTTATTTGGGGTGCCTGGGTGGCTCAGTGAGTTAAAGCCTCTGCCTTTGGCTTAGGTCATGATCTCAGGGTTCTGGCATCGAGCCCCACATCGGGCTCTCCCCGCTCAGCGGGGAGCCTGCTTTTCCCTCTCTCTGCCTGCATCTCTGTCTCCTTGTGATCTCTGTCAAATAAACAGATAAAATCTTTAAAAAAAAAAAAAAAAAAAGCACCTCCTTATTTTCTGGCACACAAAATGTTCCAGGCTCATTTGAAACCTTCCTTGTCCTACAATGGAATCAGCTACTTCTTCAAATTGTGACATTTCATTTTAGAGGAAAATGGTATTTATGAGTCAAGGTCTGGACATGTGATATGCCCACTGACTCTGGGATTTCATTACTTCCAGAACTTTTCAGTCCTAGATTAGATAGATAAATAGGTGGGTGGGTAAGTAGGTAGGTAGGTACTTAGGACGGATACTTAGATAGTTGTGTGCTTTTAAGAGATTATGAGTCATACTAACACCTCCAATTTCAATCCAAACCACAGAATTCTTCCTTGTTCCCCATTTCACATTTGTATTTCCCTTCATTCAGAGTCAGAACTGTGACTCCTAACAACACCAATACATTTACCCATTTGCTTAATTATGTAATACATGTAAAATAGTTTCACAACTGCTACAACCATACCTTCTGAAAAATAAAACTTAATAAAAAGTTCAAGATTTATTTCAGGAGTTTATTAAAATTTATTTGGGGTTTATTCAAGAGTTCTTTTCCCCCCTTAAGCGTAGTTAGCTAATTCATTTGAAATATGGTTGCGTGCATTTGTTTCTGTTTGTATTCAGTTTTAGGTGTCCTTGTTCCCATTCTTGTTGATTTACTTATATGTTTGGATATCTTTATGTTAACATGCTCCTAAAAGTTAAAATACTATACAAAGCTAGAATACTGTACACAGTACATCTCTCAGAAAGGTGTCATTCACTTCCTTTCTAGCTTGTTCTCCTCTATCCTTTGTAGGTAGCCGATTTTCTTAACTTCTGATTTATGCTTCCTGTGTATATTCTTGTATAATTAAGGGTATATATACACTTATTATATATTATAACTATAATATATATTATATATTATATATATGTATACAACTGTATTATTCCTATTTCCTCTATCATACAAAATATAGCATATTATAAATACTTTTTTGTACTTTGTTCTTTTCTATCCTGGAAATCACTCCCTAATTACTGTATTGTTATATTTACTGGGTTTCTTTCTCTCTTTGTGTCTTCTTTATTAAGGGCCTGAGATTTTAGCCTATTTGTATGCCTTCCATACTTTAATAGATGCTGGCAGAAGACATGAGATTTCTGGGCCAGAGACAAAGCTCTGTATTACTAACAGCACCAAAGGTGGCACTACATAGTTATATAGTTTCCTGTGATCTGTGAGCTCCATGGGTGATGCTGCATACCCAGTGGATTTGTGTCATAGTTGAGGGACTCTGTTCTTTAAGGAGCTGACAGGAAACTGACCCACGCTTTCCCTAAGAGAAAGATATTATCTTTAGTATCCTAATTTGGTAACAAAACTGCCTTCTGGTGCAGGGGGCAATTCTTTATCTTCCAAGACTGTTTGCTGTATTTGAAAAGATAGCTCTGAAGAAAGGCTTTTGGTTGATATAAGATGTATAGAACCTATGGGAAGATTGTCTCTGAAGAGCTGTTATTATTATTATTTATTATTATTATTATTATTATTAAGTTTAGGGAGACCTACATTTTTGTTCTAGTGGTAACCTTTGTATTTATATTTTTTATAATGCATAATGCTTTTTCCCCCTTCATTCTTACTTAACCTTTTATATGGCATCCTCAGTTCCCACCTGTTATCCCTTATGATAGCCAGTGCTCCTGTT